GCGGGGCTGCCGGCGCGCGGCCGGGAGCGGCGGCGGCAGCCTGCGCCCGACGGGGGGGGGCGAGGATGACGAGGAGGGCGAGGGCGGGGAGGGTGGAGGAGGAGGAGGAGGAGGAGGAGGAGGAGGAGGAGGGCGAGGATGAGGATGAGGATGAGGAGGAGGAGGAGGAGGAGGAGGAGGAGGAGGTGGGCAGGGAGGGCAGGGAGGGCGAGGACGGCACGGCTTCCCGAGAGGAGGGCAAGGATGACTAGGAGGGCGAAGAGGGCGAGGAGAGCGAGGAGGGCGAGGGGGACGAGGAGGGCGAGGACGGCACGGCGCGTCCGAGGGCCCCCCCAAAGAACTCCGCCAAGAGGGCCCCCCACAGGGCACAAGAGGCTCCCGAGAGGACCCACCAAGGGCCCGACGTCACCGCCGTCGTCCCCCTCTGCCGAAAGGACCTCGCAAGATTCCCCCAGCGGGGCGCACCCCCGACCCCATCCACGAACCCTTTATAGGGCAAAACTGGTTTGTTGGCCGGTTTCCTCTTCGATCTTGTCTTTTCCTCTCTCCGGGAGCAGTTCATCACTGCTCCTTCGTGATGAACACCCCTTCCCTTCCATCACCCGATTCGCGACACAACTCGGGGACGCTGCCAAACCTCCCCCGCCACCCCTTGCAAAAAGCAACACGATGTGCATTGTGCTTCCAACAAATCCTGCCAGGGGAGGAGCACGCCCGAATCACACGAGCCATCTATACTCTACGGGCGCCGCCCGAGGCTCCTTGGGCGGCCCAGCGCTTCCCCGGCGCTGTCCAATTTCTCCAGGATGCCCAAGATGGCTTCCAAGAGTGCGAGCGAGCGACCGCGCATTGCACCAAACGGTGCATGGGCAGGACAAAAAAACGTCTCAGACAGGATGCCTTCTGCAACCGCTCCAAGCCGCTACGGCCAAGTTCCAATCGCGCACTGCACCGCCCTCAGGGCGGAAGTCGTCAGCCAGGCGACCGTGGGAACGGGCAACAACAAGAACATGTTTTCGGTCAAGATGCCCCCCCGTGTTCTCTCTTGGACGGCCGCGTTTCCTTACACCGGCCTGTCTGCGGAGCTCCAAGACTCCCAGTCAAATGCCTTGTCCAGGAGGCTCCGATTCGGGCCTCCGGGCCACTTGTGCCATACATAGACTTATGCCGTCCAGCGAGACGCACGCTGAGTTCTCCTCTCTCCACACACACACACGCACGTGGGGCACAATTAGATTAGCGACTGGTGTACGCAAGTGTCACTCGACGTACTCTACGAAAACATCAGTTGTGAAAACTGTCCACGCGTCTTCTCCCAGCTTTGTGCTGATAAGCAACCATCGATACTTATGAAAACTTGGGTACCACGCATGCGTGGGACACTATAATGACATGTGTTAAAGGACATATCATAATGGAGGCTGATTGTAAGCAACGTCTTGACATCGCCCGTCGATGCTCCAAGACTCCGACTAAACTCGGATCCGCTCCTGCTGTCTGCCGAAAGCGCAGGGCCGACCATCAAGAATTGGCGCATCTGACCGCGCATTAAGTCAGCCTTTTTCCCAATTGAGCTGTAAACCGTAAGCCAGGCCACATGCTTCCACGGTGCACATCAACTCATGCCCCGGGATCGCTATGAGCAGCGTGTCGTGTGTGTACACGAGCTTCCGCCCGAATCCGTCCTGCGGTGCGTTGCCGAGCTTGCCCCGCAAATCAGCGCGGGCGTCTGTCAGCAACGAGGTCATCGCGACTTGAACAAGAGCGGCGAGATTGGGCTCCCCTGGAGAATGCCGTAAGCCTAGCTGTGCGAGGACGATGTGCGGCCGAAGTCGCGATCAATGTGCGGTCCGCGCAGGTTGCCTGAAGCATCTGCGCAGACCCTACGGGGCAGCCAGACCTGCGCACGGACAGAGCGGGTGCGTCTGGTGGAACTGGGTCGAATGCCTTCGCCCACTCTAGAGCAAGAAGATATTGTCCGCCCATCTCTCGTCGCCCAAGCACCCTCCAGAGCTCGGGGGCGGCAAAGAGGGGGGCGTCAAAGAGGGGGGGGTGCAAATCATGACCGGCGGCATGTGCGCGGCCCAGCTGGGGGACTAGGGACGTATTGAAATAAGAAGAGGCGCCATGAAATCTGGGGAAATATCATGGCACCCGCCATGATATCCACCCCCCCCTAGACATCACCCCCCTCTTTTCCGCCCCCGAAGAGCGCGAGGCGCCACGAACACGGCGTCTGCCGTGCCCCGCCCGGGTCTGAAACCGAGCTGGACGTTCGATATCGTGTCTTTGGCGCGCCCGCGCCCTCGAGACGGCGCACCAGCCTCATGGCGGACGCTCTGTGTGCCGATGGGCAACAAGGCGATTCGCAACTTGCGAATATGATCCCGACCATCCGTGGGTGTCGAGGGTCTCAGTCAGGAAACGGATGCCTTAGAAACCAGGTATCTCTAGCCACGATGCCTTGATGTGTTTTGGCGACTTGTTTCACTTGTGCTGCGTCGCCCCATCGCCGGGCGCCCCTCCGCAATATGAATGATGAACCTCATTATGCCTAAGCTGTTGCACGGTCGTCTCGGAACATGTGCAAACGTTGGCAACGGTTTCCCTGCTGTGGTGAAAACCATCGCGCCGGTCAGGCGGAATTTCTCAGCGCGTTGCTGAAACTTCCCTGCTTTCGCGCCGTTGGCACCGCCATTTGCAGACACCCTTACCGTTTGGCTTCCCCTTCCCAACGCCTTCCGATGATACTCTCCCCAACTTGTCTGATTTGTTTTGACCATGTCGGAATACTCTGGAAAACCATCTTTCTGGACGCCCGAAATGGATACGGAAAAAACGGGTACAATGCCCAACAACAAATGTTGTCCAAAACTGGCACGACACCGGCCGCTGTTTGGCAGGCGGCTTTTTGTCTTCAAAGAACAGCGTCCGCGGCGGCGCGGACAGCAAGTCTTGTTCAAAATGAACAGGAACTGCTATTGGGCATCGTACCCATTTTTGTCGCAATCAGTTTGATAGTCCCGAGTCTTGGGTTAACTACTCCTTTCAGCCCCGGACGTACGGGACTTTCAAGGCACCGCCCTCGATCGCGACCTGAATCTCGATTTCGCCGCCGCCTAGCCAGACCGTCCCTTCCTTCGGGTCTGCCCAGGCTCGTTGCTGCCCCCCCATGGTACACACACAGAGACATACTAGTACTATTATGTCCTTCTTGGAGGCGCGCGTCCGAACCGAACATATAGTATACCCATATTGTAGAATATCGTTTCCCGAGCAGTGTGGCAAGAAAGCGCCCGCTACGACGCATACACCAGAAGATTTATCGGTGCGCCCGGACACGAACGAAATCACGACCCCTTCTGACAACACATGGTCCGCCTTCGCCCACACCGACTTGCCCCCCTCTTCAAAAAAACCTGATGTACTGGGATGGCCGAAGCCCGATCCACGATGTCCAAGAACTTCGCAAAACAACATTACACGAACATTGGGCGCATGGGTTCTCAAACTTTTGTTATTCCACCAATCTTGGGCCTGTTCTAGGCCACAGAGCGCTGGCGAACCTTCGATGACGGCTGTGACGTGCTGCGTCTCGGAGGTGGCCTTGATGCCGTCAGCCTTCAAGAAGGACCATGTCAAAGGGCCCAAGAACACACACTAATAAATACACACAAATAAAATAATTCCACATATTTTCTGGGTTTCTGTCTTCCCGCCCAATTCCCATATTTTCCAATATTTTCTGGGGAATCGACGATAAATTGTGTCTGTGTGTTTGTTCCCCTCCTGAACATGTCTGCTTCCAACCCCTGGATATGAGGGCCTCCGCATTCCTGCTGTGAGGGGGCTGCTCGGGCCTGCTTTGCCCCGAGAGTGGCGATGCGATCCTCCACTGGCCATCGCTCGGACGCCCATTCCCTGTGTTTGTTTCCGGTTTCGTGCGTGTTTTGTTCGCCAAATGATCCAGGATGCTCCTCGATGGTCCCCGCCGAAAGAAATACGCACACGTCCGAGCGATACCAAGTCCATGCTCCCCCACCCGCCACTCAACCGAGCACATCCGATGTTCGAATGTCGCCTATAACTCGGTCACGCGCCTCTCGAGCAGCGCTTATGAAGAACCCCACGATTGGATCGGTGCCATCCAGGATGTCCCCAAGGGGCCTCCAGCCCCGAGAGGACCCCGAGAGAGCCCAAGATGGTCCCAAGAAGGCCCTGGTTAGCCTCAAATGGCCTCCAACTTCGATCGATGTCCTCCAAGACGGCTCCAAGGGCCCCCCAACAGATGGCCCGCTGACGCCCCCCCCAGGTTCCCCAAGAGAACTCTCACCGGGAAACAGATACCGTAAAAGAAATCAAAAGAGAGAAAGAGAGAGAGAGAGAGATAGACAAAAAAATATAGCAATCATATAACCCTCATCCACTTCCTCCCAACTCATCCTCCTCCTCAGAGTTCCACCAAAGTTCCCTCCCATGCTCCCCGATCCTTCGAAACGAGGCGCCCTGGCCGCCACCATGCTCCCTCACTTGATAAAGCGATATCACATGTAACTGATTATTGGGCCTGCTCGACATCATTCGTGCCATGGCTGTCTTGTGTCCAGGCATCGTTTCTGAATGGACTGGTGGGCATGCGCGAAGCGTCAATAGTCCCCGCTCGATTATACGCGGCATGCTTGTTTTGCAGCGGAGGGGGCAACGACAACGGACACAAAGATGACGTCTCCAGCACGATCATCTCCTCCTCCTCCTCGTCATCCTGCTCCTCCTCCTCCTCCTCCTTCTGCTACCCCTTCCTGCCTCCCCCATCTGTGTCCGAATCCGGAGCCCAAAGTTCGGCCACGCTCGCAGGGCAGACGTGGTTCCTCACAGGCCTAGATTTTTTGGGGGGCTCGGGGATTGGAGACGAGAAGCCACCCGCGAGGGACGACGTCGTCGCGTCGTCGTCGAATCGTCGTCGTCGTCGTCGTCGTCGTCGTCGCCACCCTAGGCGGAGCCTGCGCTCCAGCTCGTCCCGCAGCGCCGCGACCTGCTCGTTGAGCCTGGCCTCCACGTGTGCACAGAATTCCCTGGGCGCCGTCGTTCTGTTTGTGGCTCCACCTTCTCCTCCTCCTCACGCCCCCGCCCTCACCCCCCTCCTGGCCCTTGCCCTTCCTTCCCTTCGCTTCCCGCCTCTCTCTCGCTCCCTCGTTCGCTTCTCTTTCACGTTTCTCTCTCTCCCTCTCTCACGCTGTCTCACTCTCTCGCTCTCTCCCCCCCTCTCTCTCTCCTTTTTGTTTGTTTGTGTCCTCTCTCTCTCTCTCTCTCTCTCCTTCTCCGTCCCTCCATCTGTCTGTCATGTCTGCAATTCATACACGCATCCTTCATGGTCACGCCCTCGTGGTCCCGCCTCTGCCTGCTCCTCCCGCCGCCTGGCCCTCCTCCTGCTCCTCACCCCCTCCTTCACCCTCGCCGCCCCTCCCCTCGCATCCCCCCTCCCCCTTCCTTCGTGCTCCCCCCTCCTCCTCCCCCTCCTCCTCCTCCTCCTCCTCCTCCATCCTCCCATCTCCTCCTCCTCCTCCTCCTCCTCCTCCTCCTCCTCCTCCTCCTCCTCCTCCTCCTCTCCCCCCTCCTCCTTCCTTCGTGCCCGCCCCATCCTCTACCCGCCGCTGCAGCCCGTCCTCCCCCCGCCGTCGCACCGCCCAGGAGTGGCCGCGGGGCGCTCCGCGCGCTCCGCGGGAGACCCCCCTTGGCAGGGCACCACGGAACTCGGCAGCTCTTGCCGGGCCGGGCGAGAGGGGGGACAGCAAAGAGGGGGCTTGAGAATCAGCTCACGTGGCTGATTTTCCTGGCGACTCCCGGCGCCGGGAGGCGCCCATGTATCGAGGAATGGGCCCGGCGGCGGGGCCGAAACCAGCTGCATGTCGCAGATTTCTTGCCCCCCCCCCCCTTTCCCTATCCCCCCCCCTTTCGTCCGGCCCAGTTAGGTCGGGCATGCCCCTCTCCCCCGACCAAATCTGCATAGGCCGGGAATAACAATCTATCAGGGTTGGAGGGGGTATGATTTATTATCCTGGGCTCGGAGTTAGCTTGGCAGTGCTTCGCAATGCGTGGCATTGTGAAGAAGACGAGGCACCCGGGGCGGGGAGCGCGAGGAACCCGAGAAATCTCCGGGAAGCGGGCAACGTAACAATAGGAGGCACCGGGAGCAGGGAACCCAAGGAACCTCCGAGCAACGGACAGAGCAACAACAGGAGGCACAAACTCTTCACCGAGTAGAAACCCCTTAGGCAAGCCTGATTGAGAAACATCTGCACATCGTCGGAGACCTGGAATAGGGAGGCACCAAATATACACCAACACCGATCCCGGCCAGGATCAACCTGGGCCCAGGATCGGTGTATACGCCCTCCTGCCATGGGCAGAATGCATATACACCGATCCTGGGCCTAGGATCGGCCTGGGCTGGATCGGTGTAGGTGTATAGTTGGTGCCCTCCGATGGAACGCTCCCTCTTCTGAAAACGACCTCCCCCTCCGATCGGCGCCCCCCCCCCCCCTCTGGGCCTCGTCTCCAGCGCCGACGCCTCCGCGGACGAGGCGCGGGCGCCCTCCGCCGACCGCACCCGCTGGTCCAGCCCGTCGAGCCGGAGGTCTGGAGAGCAGTTGCTCTTGGGCAGAGGCTCCCCTACAGTTATGTCGGGCGTGTCCCCCTACAGGGGGATTTTCGACGAAAAAAACAAATATCCCACACATGCCCTAAAAAGGTCCCCCCAAAGACTCAAAAATTAGACCTCTGATCATTTTTGGATTATTGTTTGTTATTATTGGGTTTTGTTTTATCTTTCGTCGAAAATCCCCCTGTAGGGGGACAGGCCCGACTTCACCCTATAGGCCCCCTCCCCCTCTCTGCTGAGAGCAGTGAGTGGCCCTGCACAAAGAGTGACCCTTGGTGCGCGACCTTCAGGGGCCGCGGGGAGGCCGAATCGGAAGGAGCAGGCCGCTGCTGTCGCATCGCAGGCAGCCAGCTGGGGACCCCAGTGTGCCCGCACCCGTCAATCCGGTGATCAGTCACTCTAATGTGTAGCCAATCGACAGGCCCGAAAGCCGTCGAGAGAGACAACCCGGGATGAAAACGGGACCTGGGGAAGGTGTCCCAACCTCTGGGGGGGCCACGCTGTGGAAGCAACCTGGCGTGGGGAGGTATGGGGAGGGTGCGGCGGCTTGAGGGTGCAGGCAACATGCAAAAAGTGTGTCTTGGACCTGCCCGCTCGTTGGAGGAACCCCTCGAGCTGGAATCTTGGGCGCCCGGGTTATCCGGGGTAACTCGGGCCCGGAGTAACGCGGGCTTGGATTCCCGAAAAACCAACCCGAGTTAGCCCTGACCCGAGTTACCCCTGATGATTCGGGGCTCTGGACGCCCGAGTTATCCGGGGTAACTCGGGCCCGGGGTAACTCGGGTTCGGAATCCCGAGAAGCGAACCCGAGTTAGCCCTGACCCGAGTTACCCCTGATGATTCGGGGCTCTGACTGATGGTGAAGCCGAAATGCAAACCGGGTTCGGCGAGCGGGCCTCCATCGGCGACGATTAGGCGATTGGGGATCGATGCGTCCCGCCCCCTTAGCCTATCCTCCACTAGTGTTTGCCCCTGAAAATGCGCAGGCATCGAAGGGGATATATCTGAAGGGTCCCCAGGACACACAAATAAATACACACACAAATTAAACGATTCCCGATATTTTCCCATATTTTCTGTGTTTTTGTCTTGGCCCCCACTTCCCATATTTTCCCATATTTTCTAGGGAATCGACGATTAATTGTGTCTGTGTGTTTTTGTCCCTCCTGAGAAATGCGCAGGCATCGAAGGGAATAGATCGGGGATCTCTAAGAGCCAGCGGGTGCGGAGTGTGGATCATGTATCGGACGCAGCGGCCGTTCCAGAGCGCGCCACAACGCTCCGAGAGCGTTCTCGCCCAGGTCCCTCTGGCCTGGGGACGTGGCCTGATTTCACCAGCGTTTCGCGGTGGGTCCAAAGGCCGGGGCAAAGGCGCCCTGATGCTTTTCTTTTCACCTTGCAGAGGCGGGCGGAGGGGGGGGGGAGGACGGCAACAGTGGCGAGGGGAGGAGGAAGTGGAGGGCGGCGACGGCAGCGGTGGATGAAGGCAGGAGGCGGAGGGGAAGAGGACAAATATCAGGGGGATGGCGGGACCAATTGACACCCAGCCGCCATCACTGGTGCTGCAACAGATCCACACATCTGAGGTGGCACCATCGAACCCGCACGCAGGTGCCTCTGATGGAAGATGGCGAGCAATCGCGGACAATCGAAATGGCCATTTGGGTTCGACATGTCGGCGCGCTTGGGTCCACAGGCAAAAAAATCCGACCGCCCTGCTGCAAGAAATGTATTCCCATCAGCTGGCAACGGCACCTGTGTGAGCCGGTGGTCGCGCCAAATATGACGCCAAACAGACCCTTGCATGGCCGAAGGGGCGACAATTTGCTGCCCACCTGGCGCATGCGGAGCAAGGGCCCTGGCAACAACGGCGACGGCTCCGCGAGGTAGACTGACCGCGAGCGGACAAGCGCGGATAGTGCCTCCTGTCAATGCGACGTGTTATGAGAGCGGGCTGGTAACTACGCACTGAGCCAACCTCCTGGCGACAACGCTGGCAACGCCACGAGCGCCGTCTGCGCGCGCGGGCCGCACTGCCCAGCAGCAGCGCTGGCAACGCGGCGGGGGACAGCCGCGAACCAACACCCGCGAAGAATACTTCCTGGCCTCAAGGCTGGAAGCGAGATGTGCGATGACCGCGAGCACGTGAAGACTGGACCCGAGTCCGTGGCAACGACGTGCGGGGAATGATGTGGCGAGCGCGATGAACGCGCGCCGAACCTCCTGGCAGCAACGCTCGCTGAACGATGTGCGCCGGCCGCGACCGGGCGCGTCCGGGAGACCGGTGAGAGGCGCGCTGGGCCTGGGGGACTGGCGGGAAAGCTGCCGCGCAGACTGAAGGGGCCCAAGGACACACAAATAAATACACACAAATATTTCCCCTCTTCCACTTTCACTTCCCATATTTTCCCATATTTTCTGAGGAATCGCCGATTAATTGTGTCTGTGTGTTTCTTTCCCTCCTGAAGACAGCAGGCACGCCCGCGCAAACAACCAACGATACCAATGTAGCCCCAAGATGCCTCGGCATCGGTTCCAGATTGCTCCTCGGCGGCCGAAGCTGCCCCCCCCAAATTTCGACCGATTTGTTCGAAGTCCCGCCCGTTCGGCCGTCGGTCAGCCCGCGACGGCACAAGAAGCCTCCACGATGGCCAAGAAGAGGCTCCCCAGAGAGTCTCGCGATGGCCTAAAATCGGCGGTGGACAAACCTCCCTGTAATAAACCTCCCCTAAGTGAAAACGGCCTGGGACCGCAACCGACGGACTTGGACCCGCAAAAAAAATACGGCCGCGACGCCACCTCGCGAACCGAAAACGGCCCATTCCTCAATCGACGTGTCAGGGTAGGAGGTCTGTCCACCCCCGATAAAAGGACCTCGCGATGACCCAAGGAGCGCCTAAAACTGCCCAAAGACGGCTCTTGAGGGCCCCCCGCGGACTCAAGACGTCCTTGGGGTGCCCTTCGAAGGCCCAAGGCGGCTCCAACGCGGCCCCACGACGGCGCTCAGACGCCAGCAGTGCGGCCAGTGGGGGGCCCGCGACGGCCCGCGAGATCCTCTGCGCGGCGTAGGAGTGCAGCCCCAAGACGGCCGAGACGAATTCCACGAGCGCACCTCGATTGGCGAAGGTGAAGGCGCGGCGTACTGCAGCCTTCACCTTCCTCCCGTTGTCACGGTGTCGCGCGCAAGGGCAGGTCGAGCGCGCTCGGCCGAAGCTGAACCAACAATGCAAGGGGGGGGGAATGGGGGGGCCCAGGCAAATCCTGGCAGCCTCCCCCAACTCCTGGCGTTTGCTTGCCCAGCGCGCCGTGCGTGCCGAACGTCGCCGGCGCGATGGAGCGGGTCGCGCGGCGCCACTCTTTTTTGTTTTTCTCTCTCTCTCTCTCTTTCTCCCTTTCCCTTCTCTCTCTCTCTCTCAGTCTTTCTCCCTCTGTCTCTCTCTCTCTCTCTCTCTCCCGCCCCCCGCTCAACTGCGCGCCTCTCGCCCGCTGCCCTACCCCCCGTCTAGCGTAGCTCCGACTAAGTGCCGCGCAGCCCCGAGACTGCAAAAGCCACCCTGACAGTGGCCAGAAGCAACAATTCGTAGCGCAACACACGCACGGAGGGGGAAAGTGGGGGAGGACCAGCTTGGCCATCTCATGTTATGTTTGCGGGGCAGGAGTGGAAGTGGTAAACTTGCAGTCGCCCGAGCCATGTGGCGGCCAAAACGAGCGCAACCGCCAAGCGAAGCCATTTCATTGAGCCAAATCTGATCCGGGTTGGCAATGCGGAGTCAAAAGGGCTGGCCGAGGTGGTTGAACCGCTCCGCTCCCGCCTGACCAAGCTCGCAGTCCTGATGATTGAGGGCCCGCGCCACCTCGCCAACCTTCTGCTCCATCTGAAAAGGCCTCTTGATGGACGGGCCCACGCACGTGCTTAAGACTCGTCAAACCTAGGGCGTCCTCCTCGTCGCGGGGGCGGCCCAGGCACGGGCTCGCAAGGCACAGTGAGAGGGCCGCCCCGAAGGCCCCGCAACGAGCCCGCCGCGCTACACGATCAGCCCCTGTGAGAAGACGACGCGACACTTGGGCCGTCCTCGCAACTCTGGGAAGCCCATGGCATGCCACTTTACAGATGCACACCCTGCTGCCTGGCTCTCCGCAACGCCGACTCTGATGCGCCCCCTTACAGCCGAGGCGGATCAGCTGGCGGCCAAGCGCATCAGGCACCAGCTCGAGTTGAACGGGTCGGCCTCGCATACTCGCGCGCACCTGTTCAACGTCTGGAAGGCCGCCCTGGGACAAGCGTCTCATCGTCTCGCGAATGCGGCAGGCACCCTGGGACACGAGCGCTTCCTGTTCGATTCCTCTGAATCAATGAAGGCGGAGGTAGGGTTCGGACCGCGCCGCGTGTTCGACGAATTCCGAACCCTCCTTCCGACGCCCATCGAGTTGCCTGAATCGTTGATCGGCGAGGGTCGGGTTCGGATTTCGCCTTCGAGTAGTGGAGGCTGCAGCAGCGCAGCAGCGACACAGCCGACCGGCCGAGCCGAACCGACCGAGCGCGGCCGACTGCCAGGCAGGCCTGGGCCGACCGTAAAGGCGGACACCGTCGCTCTCGGCATGGGAGAGACGAGTCCTGAGGGAAACGTGTCCTGATCGGCTACAGGAGTATCGTTTATCCGATCCCGATCCCCCTAGATGGGAATATAGGCCGTCCCCTTCGTGTTTCGAGGGGTGTATCCCCAACTTGGCCCTGGGCCCCCTCTGGCCCTGGCCCCAGACCGAGCCTGCTCTGGCCCTGGTCTCCGCACCCTGGACTCTTTACTTTCGCTCGTGGTTCGTTCGTGAATCGTCGTCGGCGCCCCCCTGGCTCTGGGTAGTGATTTGGGGGGTCTCGCAGGGGATGAGGATGGGGATGGGGGTCAGATAAATGGTACTGACTGCACGCAAAGAGTGACCCTGGGCAGGAGTGACCGTTGGCGCGCGGCTTCAGGGGGCCGCGGGGAGGCCGCATCCCAGCGCGCGAGCCCATTCTAGAGAGACCACTGAGTACGGGTCCGCCCCGAGAGTCGCTCCAGCGAAGGGTCACCCGTACGCACAGCCAGCCCGAGCCCGGGAGCTCTTCCCCGGGACCCGCCGAGATTCACGCGCCGCCTTCTGACAGGCTCGGTCCCTCAGGGCCCCGAGAGCAAGAGTATGGCGAAAAGCCTGCGAAGCGGCCTCCTCTGAGGGGAACGACAGCGAGGTACTGCAGGTTCGTGCTGTGTCGACCCTGGCGTTGGTTCCTGACACCGCGCTGGATCGTTCAACCTCGAACGATCGGCCGTCTCCGCAACGTCCAATCGTTCAACATCGACCGATTCTGGGCCGCCGTCGGCGTTCAACGTTGAACGTCGGCGGCGGGGTCGCCGCCGGTCGACACGACACGAACCTACAGTACTGGCTCAGGTGGGGAGACGTCGGGCTGGAAGCGGCGACACGCCGACGTTAGACCGGCGGCAGGCCCCCGAAAACGGCCACGGACGTTCCACTGGCGCGGTGGGCTGTCGGGGCCGCCACCGCCGAAGAATGGTCAGGGAGGCGTAAGACCCGGGTACAGGGGACTCGGAAATCCCCGACGAGGTCGTCAAAAAAATTACGAGGCCGAGCCTGCATTTTGACGAGGCCTCCCGCTGCAAACATCTCACGAAACTCCTCCTCGTCAAAATCCGAGTCGCGGTCGTCAAAAAACGATGGCGAACCCGAGTCCTGGCAAACCCGGGTCTTACGCTCCCCCGAAATGGGCGACTGGGGGTCGATGCCATCTCGCCCTGAGCCTATCAAGTGGCGGGGTGGCAAGTGGCTACGCGTACGCGGCGCCATGGACGAGCAGCGGAGGGGGCACCGAGGCGCCCCGAACAACTGCAGAACGGAACGAGAGCAGCCGCCACTTATACGCGTGCCGCCAGCGGGATCTGGGGACCACGACTTCCGACGACATGATGTGTTCACGACGTCGACCCCCAAAGGTCTCGACCCCTTACCAGGGACCGGTTTCTCCCGAATCGCTGCTTGACCGCCCCAGGGCCCGGCGAGGGACCCGAGAGGACGAACATCGCCCAACACCGTGTGGCGTGACATCTTCACACGACCAACGAGGGGATCTGGGGGCCAGGGCCCGGTCTCCCCCTCGGTGCCTTTCTCCGGCCCCCAACGTTGGCCCAGCTCCCCCCCCGCGCCGCGGGAGAGATCATGGTCTTAGGTCGGGCATGTCCTCCTACCGGGGGACTTTGGGACAAATAATTGAAAGATTGTCAAACCATACTCCCAAATGATCAAAAATAGTATATAACAAAAAAATCGCCACCATTTATGAATAATCCACCTGTAGAGGGACAGGCCCGACTTAACCATAGTGCCGCTCTGCGCCTGGAGCAGCGTGGCGAGCGCGCCTCCCGTCCTGATCGGATCGATCGGGTGCCTTTCACTCCCCTCCTCGGGGATCTACTCATGAAAGGGCCCTGGGACACACAAATAAATAGACACAAATAACAAGATTCACAATAGTTCCCATAGTTTCAGGGTTTTCGTCCCCCCCCCGTTTCCCATATTTCCTTATATGTTCTGGGGAATCGACGATAAATTGTGCATATGGGTGTGTTTTTTTCCTGAATCTACTGGATTGGGTCGATCCAAAACCCGGGTCGGTCATGACAGGGGATTGGTCGACCCCAAACTTGCGATGTATCCCAGGGTTCCCCTCTCTTTCTGAACGGCCAAGCTTTTCGGACGGAGCTCAGGGAATGGGGGATAAAAGTGGCCTGCGAAGTCAAGGCTTGCAGGATCCTGCAAGCTGGCGCTCTGGCTGACCCCTGTTTGCATTGACGCCCGTCTTTTGAGCCCCGACATCTCCTCTCCAGTCGCCTTCCTGATGCTCCCGTGCGGAGCCGATCGACGAACAGAACACTGCATGGCCGGAAACTTTCGCATCTCCGCTTGGATTCCTCGGATCGGCAAAGGACCCTCCTCCCTGGCGCGCGGAGCGCGCCAAGGTCGGCGCCAGAGGCGAGACCAGAGGAGGCCAGCGCAGATTCAAGAACTCCGCGTGGAGCGCGGAGCGCCGACAATCTATGTTGATGTTGTTTTTGTTGCAAGGAGGCCGGCCTACCGTCGTCCTCGCCTTATCGGTCCTCCTCCTCCTCCTCCTCTTCCTACTCGTCCTCCTCCTACTCGTCGTCCTCGTCCTCCTCCTCCTCCTCCTCCTCGTCCTCCTCCTCCTCCTCCTCCTCCTCCCCCTCGTCCTCCTCGTCCTCCTCATCCTCCTCCTCCTCCTCGTCCTCCTTGTCCTCCTTGTCCTCCTCGTCCTCGTCCTCGTACTCGTCCTCCTCCTCATCCTCCTCCTCGTCCTCCTCGTCCTCCTCCTCCCTCCTCCTCGTCCTCCTCATCCTCCTCCTCCCTCCTCCCTCCTCCTCCTCCTCCTCTTCCTCCTCCTCCTCGTCCTCCTCCTCCTCCGTTTCCTCCTCGTCCTCCTCTCTCCTCCTCCTCGTACAAATCTCCTCCTCCTCCCTCCTCCTCCTCCTCCTCGTCATCCTCCTCTCCTCCTTCTCCCCTCCTTCTCCCCCTCGTCCTCCTCATCCTCCTCATCCTCCTCGTCCTCCCTGTCCTCCTCATCCTCCTCCTCTCCTCCTCCTCCTCCTCTCTCCTCCTACTCGTCCGCCTCGTCCTCCTCCTCCCTCCTCCTCGTCCTCCTTGTCCTCCTTCTCCCTCCTCCCTCCTCCTCCTCCTCGTCCTCGTCCTCCTCCTCCTCCTCGTCCTCCTCGTCCTCCTCGTCCTCCCTGTCCTCCTTCTTCTCCTCGTCCTCGCCCTCGCCCTCCTCGTCCAGGGCAAACGCACAAAAGACGCCCGCCTACCAGCCGCAGCCGCTGCATCACCTCCTCCATCGCGGCGGCCGCGGGCCCGAGGCCGCCGTGGCCGTCCAGCCCCGCGCCTCGCGCCAGCCCGCGGCTGCTCCCCCTGCCGCCCCATCCCGTCCGCCCCCTCCAGTCTTAAGTCGGGCCTGTCCCGCTACAGCCGATGCATCGGCGGTGCGGTTCGATGTGGAGCCCAATGTTCTCCATGCCGACGTCGGCGATGAGGCGCGATCCTCCGACCCCCTCTACTCCGACCCCATCTAGGAGGCTTCTAGAAAGACAATCAGTGCCATAGCGCCCCACAGTGTCAGGTCGCATAGGGGATTATCCGGATGTCGGTTGCCGGGCGGTCGTCACGTTTCGCTCCAGCGCCGTTTGGGAACGTCTCGGAGTGGCCAAAGCCAATTGGGAGGTCAGCACGATTTTCGACGAAAAATGAAAATACCCCCAAATATATATACATATATATATATATATAAACAAAAGTCGTATGGGGACTATCTTTCTAATATGTTTTAAACCCTTTTGGGGTATGTTTGATGCATGTTATATTTTCATCAAAATCCCCCTGTAGGGGGACAGGCCCGACATAACTCCAGTCGGCGGCGGCGGGGCTTCTCTGGGAGGTCTTCTCTGAAGGGGCCCTGGCACACTCAAAAAATGAGCACCCAAACCAGGATTCCCCATATTTCCTTATATTTTCGTGGTTTTGTCTTCCCCCCACTTCCCACACTTTCCCATATTTTCTGGGAATCGATGGTTAATTGTGTCTGTGTGTTTCTTTCCCCCCTGATTCTCTGTCTCTGGGAAAGACTTGGAAGACTTCTCGGAAGGCCGGGATACTTCCGAGCCTTCTGAGAAGGCCCGCTCCTCCTCGCTTCCCCCCTGGGCTCGCCGCCGGGCCTCGGTTCTGCGAGAAAGGCGCCCATGCTTCGCACCGCGAATCGTTACGTTATCAGCCTCCTGGCACCCACCCCTCCCCCCCATCCAGTAACGGCCGTTGTCGCCAGGGGGTGATAACATGAGCCTGGCGAAGGACCCAACCAAATGCAGTTGTGAATGACGCAGGTGTAAATCTCACCTTCGGTGGAACTCCCTCTGGCACTCGGAGCAACGAAACATGTGAGGGGTGTGCCGATATGGGTGGCGAGGGCGCATGTAGGCACCACCGCCACTGGGGCCATCGGTGGAGCCCCGTATGGGGCCGCGGGACGTGTGAGGGGTATGCCGAAATGGAGTGCGGGGACGCTCGTGGACACCGCCACTAGGGCCTTCGGTAGCGCTCCCCATGGACCCACGAAACGTGTTGTGGGGGGGGGGCCGACATGGATTGCCTGGACGCATGTGGGCACCGCCACTGCGCCCTTCGGTGGAGCTCCTCTAGAGCCACGAAGCGTGTGAGGGGTGTTCCGACATGGGTTGCGTGGACGCATGCGGGCTGCGCCACTGGGACCCTCGATGGAATTCCCTATGGGGCCACGAAACATGTAAGCGGCGTGTCGGAATGGGTGGCGGGAGCGCATGTGGGCACCGCCACTGAGTCCTTCGGTGGGGCTCCCTATGGGGAAACGAAAAGTGTGAGAGGTGTGCCGAGATGGGTGGCGCGGATGCATGCGGGCTGTGCCACGGTGACCTTCGGTGGAGCTTCCCCTGGGGCCACGAAACGTGTGAGCGGTGTGCCAACATGGGCGGCGGGGACGCGTGCGGGCTGCGCCACGGGGGGAGGGCAGGAGGAGGAGAACGCGGGGCGGCGCCTCTCCAAAACGAAGACCCAATACCGCAGGATGCTTGGGAAAAGCAGGCCGTGCGAGAACGGCCGAGAACGGCGCCCATGGGGGCGGGTGGAGCAGGAGCAGCGGCTGAATATTGTGGGCCTCTGCACCTTCGTGCCCGCGCCTGCCTCCCCTGGGGCCTTCGCCGACCTTCCAGCGGGCCGGCAGAAGGACGACCACGGAGGACAACCTTGTTCCGGGCTGACTCTGCTACGGTGCAGCGTGGACTCATATATGATAGGTGCTATATGCCCATGGTGAATCGCCAGTGGCGATCTCCGTAGTATTAGCACGTTCTGTGAATAGTTACGTTCTCCACAGAACGTATGATGGACGATCTCCATAGTATTAACACGTTCTGTGAATCTGTTGCGGAGAACACTCGACAGCGAGAGCGCCGGCAACATGGATGGCAACCATTCAGTCCCCGCCCCAACGCGGTACGGTGCATCGGGTTCCGCCCCTTGGGCCCGAAAAACTATGCACCACACCTTTCCTGGGTCGAAGATCCACGACGCCTCGGGAGACACCAGCGCGGAACGAGGCACACGAGTCTCCGCGGCGATTCGGAGGGCCAATCTGGAGCGGAACAGAGGAGCCATGCTGCTTCGACCGCTCCCTACCGGCACACCGCAGGCCCGATGGCCGCGCCATGCATTCGCCCTTCGTCGAAGGCACGAGGCGGAATACCTGAGGAGCACCGGGACACTTGAGGCCTGGCGGACAGACAGACAGACAGGCAGGCAGACAGGCAGACAGACACAACGAAGTCAGTGAGTGGCCCATCGCCCCCCATCGTGCAAGCTGTTCAAGGTCCCCAAACATCCGACGCCCGACGTCATGATTTTTTCATGACGCGACCCCCAGAGGTCTGGACCCATTCCCCGGGACCGGTTTTTCATCCCGAGTCGTTTTTTGACGGTCCTGAGGGCCAGAACAGGCCCCCGGAGTACGAAAATCGAGAAAAACCTTCCGTCGTGATTTTTTCACGCCTCGAGGGGGTCTGGGGACATCCGACGCGCCTCGACCTCTGTCGGTAGGAGACTCCACCGTGGGCCCCATGCCGGGGAGCCTGAGGCCGCCTGGTCTGGCAACCATTTCGCCCGAGACCCCTTTGTTGGGTTTAGTGGAACCTGGTTTAGTGATCTGTACCGGGGGCGCCCCCCGCCCCATGTCCACTGACCGGAACTGCCATCACCCGGAAAAACACCAGGCAAACCTGGTTTGGTGATTCTGGCCAATTCGAAAGCTCCGGGGCCCCTACCACTAACCGGGTCCCCTTACCCGGGGTCCTGGCCATGCCCGAATGTTTCTCGGGAGTCGTGCTCTTGCCTCCACGCCGGACGCGCGCGGGGACACGAGACCCTTCCAAGGGCCACACTGCCATAGGAATGCAGGAGGCATGGGTCGCGAGACACGGGACACAGGTGTACTTTGAAGCTCGCTGAGGGGCAGCGAACGCGATCTGTGTTTATGGAGCGATGGGGGAAAGGGCAATGCATTTGTAGGGCAAGAGCAACCATGAGCAGCCCAATCGTCGGCAAGAGTAAACATGAAATCAGAGCTTCTCGCGAAGGGCGGCTGTAAGGATTGCTGTTGACCGATCAAGCGCGTCCGCCGAGCGTACGGGGATCTGGCCCTGGAAACAACGCTGCCCCCCCAGCGACCTTCACGGTGTACTCTTGATTCGGGAGGGTCGACTGGCTCATCAGGGCCGGCTGTACATGTGTGGTCCAGACGGCCACGACCCCTTGGAAAACACGCACTGAGGTGCACCTGGCCGTATCCAGACCTCCTACTCTTCGGTCGGGCATGTCCCCCTACAGGCGGATTCTGGGCGAAAAATGAAGACACGTCAAACAACACAAAAATTGCTCCAATATCATCCCCTGACTATGTATTAAACTAGTTTGTCTCGACAAGTCGCCCCGACAAGTTCCATATGTTTTGTCTCGAAAACGTCGCCCCTGACTATTTTCTGATCTAGTTTGTCTCAACACAAAAAGAGGCCTCGACAAAAGTCGCCCCGTGGCTCTCCTTGAACCCCCTCCTGGGCCGGTCTTGGCACCCCCTCGAGCCGTTTTGCAGGTCCCCGCCACCCGCCGCTGCCCCGAGGCGCTACTGAAAGCCTCACGCAAGACCCCGACGCAGAGAAAAAAAACGGGCCCAGACGGAAACAGCGCAAACAGGCGCAAACCCGACGACGACGGCGACGGCGACGGCGACGGCGAAGGAGACGGCCACGGCGACGGCGACGGCGACGGCGACGGCGACCGCGGCGACGGCGACGGCGACGGCGACGGCGACGGCGACGGCGACGGGACGGCGGCGGCGGCGGCGGCGGCGGCGGCGGCGGCGGCGGCGGCGGCGGCGACGACGACGACGACGACGACGACGACGACGACGACGACGGTCCCGAGCTGGGGACAGACGGCCGGCGCCCCCGCTGGCCGTGGAGGCCAGGCGCCGCGCCTGCGCCCTGGCGGCAGGCGCCGCCGCCGCGGCACTCGGCGGCCGCAGCGCGCGGGCCAAGGCCGTCCTCCTCGAGGGCGGGGCCACGCCTCCTCCTCCTCCGCCTCCTCCTCAACCTCCTCCTCATCCTCCTCCTCCCTCCTCCCTCCCTCCTCCCTCTCCCTCCCTCCTCCTCCTCCCTCCTCCCTCCTCCCTCCTCCCTCCTCCTCCTCCCTCTCCCTCCTCCCCTCTCCTCCCTCCCTCCTCCTCCTCCTCCTCCTCCTCCTCCCTCCTCCTCCTCCTTCCTCCTCCTCCCGTTCCTCCTCCTCCCCTCCTTCTCCTTATCCTTCTCCTTCTCCTCCTCCTCCGCCTCCTCCTCCTCCTCCCCCTCCTCCTCCTCCTCCTCCTGTCGGGAACATGTGGACCACAATGCTGCAACAAGGAACGTGAAATGAAGAACGAAGACCCTCGCCCAAAGCGCCGTCCGATCACGAGGAGGGCTAGAGGAACAACCATGGAGGGACCTGAGGAACAGCGGCCCCTTTCCGAACCCAAAGCGGTTCTTACTTCAGCGTCTTGGCTGTAGCTAGGCACGCCCGCAATGGCTACGGAACTGACCACAATGCCCACCACAGGTTGTCCCGCACCGACAGGGGCCGCTGTTGTACAGGCGAGTGTGTGTCTCAAATTGATGGCGACCTCGGCGACATAGACAGCGAATATTTTTCACAATGGGCATGAGTTGCTGTGAATCTTCGCTGGCGTCGTAGAAGCACTCCACATTGTCGGAAGATAGAGCTCTATTCCAGCCTGCACGTAGTAGCGCGTCGCCTGGGTCATCCCATGTGGACTCCCTCGTGTCCAAGTTGTAGTGGCTTGCCTGGGCGAGCCACTTGGCAGGCCTGCCATCGACATGGTATGCAACCCATGGCTTCGGCGATGGAAGCCGATGGTGGGGTGCCAGGGGTGCCCCCCCAAGTCTCACTGCGGACACCACCAGGACATCATCGAGACACCATCGAGACACTACCAGGACACCATCAAGGCACCCGTCTGGACACCAATTGGAACACCATCGGAACACCACTCGGGGCACCTCTCCGGACAGGCCCCCCCAAAGTCTCACTATTGGACACCACCAGGACACCACCGAGACACCATCGAAAAACCACTAGGACACCATCAAGACACCGATCAGGACACCAATCGAGGCACCAATCAGGACACCATCAGGTCACCATCGACTGCACCATCGATCTCATTATTGATCTCATTATCGATCTCGCTATCGGCCTCACTCTTTGAATCCCACCATCGCTCTCATTCGATCGATCTCACTTTTGATCTAACTCTAGATCTCACGGGTGACCCAACTAGGGATCCCACTATGGATCTCACTATCGCTCGCACTATCGATTTCACGATCGGACTCAAGGGACACCACCGGACACTGACGGGACACCCAAGGGACAGCGACGGGACACCCGCGGGACACCGACGGGACACCGACGGGCCACCACGGGCCACCATCGGCACACTATCTGGGCACCAATCAATCTCACTTTCGATCTCCCTATCGATCTCACTCGCTCGATCTCACTGTCGATCTCACTCAGACACCGAAGGGACACCGACGGGACACCCGCGGGACACCGACAGAACACCGACAGAACACCGACAGAACACCACGGGACACAGTCGGCACACCACCGGGACAGAAATGGATCTCCCTTCCGATCCCCCTATCGATCTCACTCGCTCGATCTCAGAATCGATCTCACTCGATCGATCTCAATATCGATCTCACTATCGCTCTTGCTACCGATCTCACTATTGATATCACGATCGGCCGCACTATCGATATCACCATCGACCTCACCACAAGACACCGACGGGACTCTGCCGGAACTCCGACGGGACACCACGGGACACCATCGGGCCACCATTGGGGCACCGATCGATCTCACTATTTCTCGATCTCACTATCAGCTTCATTATTGATCTCACTGTGGATCTCACCATAGGACGCCGACGGGACACCTACGGGACACCTACGGGACACCTCGGGACACCATTGGGACAGCGACGGGACAGCGACGGGACAGCGACGGGACACCATTGGGACAGCGACGGGACAGCGACGGGACAACCACGGAGCACCCAAGGGACAACCACGGAACACCAGCGGGACACCGACGGGACACCACGGCGGGACAACCCCGCGAGCGCCCGCCCACTGGGGAGGGAGGAGGGGCGGTCCACGGCCCCTGACCCGCCCCAGCCACAGCGGAGACATCCCTCTCGCCCGCCCACGCAGCTTGGCGCGCACGACACGAACCCGAAACCGACACCGATTTCCTGGTGAAGGGCTCTCAAGTCCGCTTCGATCTCACCCGCGAACCTCCGACCAATAGATCACAGCGTGCATCGAAAAGGCCCTACATAGCCTACCGAGAACCCACTAACGAAAGTCCAAGCACTCCCCAAGATAGCACGAAACCAGCACAAGAGTAACACCGGTTGAGGATACGTCCGGAACGCTCCGAGCTCAGAGCGTTCCGGAACGCTCTGGAACTGATTTAGCCTCGCCTTGGCACCGTCCGGCAAGACGCCCTCAAGACAAATCCGCACACCCCTCACCCAGATCTACCTGCCTCTGGACGCGAGCTCGGAGTCGCTGAGAAGACCCCGTCCCCCTCCTCCTTCTCCTCCTCCTCCTTCTCGTCCTCCCTCTCCTTTTCCCTCTTTCTCGTCCGCGCCTCTGCGTACGTACTTCTGCCATTGCGTTCCCTTCCTCCCCCATTTCTGGAGAAGAACTCCGGTAAATGAATCCTTCAAGATTGCCAGCTGTCCGTTTGGTCTTCAGACACTCCCGCCATACGTCCTCCACTGTTCTGTGGTACAGCGTCGTGGAACCCGGTTGCGACATCAATTGCACTCCTGTCAACTTCCGTGGCTTGTCCAGCGAAAATCAGCCGCCTGCGAAATCACCTACACCTAAGCACGCACGCACAGGCGCACACACACACACACCAACGCAAACGCTCTCTGCCGTCGGCGGCCAGGCAGAGCCAGTGCTGGCGATCGGGGGCGCTGGCAGGCCGCACGGAGCGCAGATCGAGCCACCCTGCAGGAGGAGGAGGGAGGAGGCGCCCGGCGGCGGGAGGGAGGAAAAACATACGTACACACACTCGGGAGTGGCCAAGAGGGGGGTGTCCAAGAGGGGGGGTGGGTGCAAATCATGACCGGCGGCATGTGGAGGCCCAGCGGGGGGGCCAGGGACGTAATGAGATAAGAAGAGGCGCCATGAAATCTGGGGAAATATCATGGCCCCCGCCATGATATCCACCCCCCCCCTGGTCATCACCCCCCTCTTTTCCGCCCCCGACACACACACACGCGCGCGCACACACACACGCGCGCACACGCACGCGCGCACACGCACGCGCGCACGCACGCACGCGCGCACGCACGCGCGCACGCACGCACGCACGCACGCGCGCACGCACGCGCACACACACGCACGGACACCCGCGCGCACAGACCCTCTCGGCGCCGCGGCCGACGGCCGTGCGGCCTCTCGCGGCGGGGAGCAGGGCAGGGGTCGAGCGAGCGAGAACCGGGCGCGCGGGGCGGGCGACGGCGCACGCGCCGCGAGGAGGGCGCCCCCGAGGTGCCAGGCAAGGGGGGATCACTTGCCATCGCTTGGACGCCCATTCTCCGTGCATTTTTCGGTTTTGTGCGTGTTTGTTTTTTGTTTTGCTCGATGGTCCAGGATGCTCCTCGATTGTCCTCGCCGAGAAAAAACAAAGCACACGTCCGAGCGATGCCAAGATCATCGGGCGCGAAAATGCGCTCGCGCGGGGGGGGGCAGGCACGCGGACACGCACGCGCACACTCGCACAGACCAACTGGGAGCCTGGGACGCACATATATAAATGGGCACAAACAACAGGCTTCCCAAGGTTTTTGTCCATATGTTCTGGGTTTTCATCTTCAACCCCAGACACGCACACGCACACGCGCACACACGTACGCACGCATGCGAGCACAAACACACACACACACACACACACACGCACACACACACACACACACTTGTTTTGCGTCGGCGGCTAGTAAAGAGTGACTGAGCTGGCGGTGAGGCGCTGGAAGATGCTGAAGCGCGAATTTGGCCACCATGCAAGATGTCGAGGGCGCGCAAGCATGGATTAGCGGTCCATGGATTTGGTGCGCGGCCGCCAACTCCATGGATCGGAGGAGGTGCCCTCGCCAAGATGCGGCTGATGCCGCCTCGTTCGGCGGCGGAAATCCTCGATTTCCCATGGAAACGGGACCCGTCGCCAATCCACGCCCCCTTAATCCATGTTTGCGATCGACTGAAAGAGGGGGGAGGAGGCAGCACACACGTACACATAGAAAACGAGATGCACCACTCTCGAACAAGAAACCCTCCCCCAAACGACGCGATCGCAACCCAACTGCCGTCAACTGGAGTGCCCCGGCTCCTCTGGCCATCCCCCACTAGATCGGGTTCGAGGACCTTGCAGAGGTCCGAAAAGCCCCAGTGTAGCCCCTGGCCACGGGCCTCTGTTACAGCGATCCCCCAGGAAAACATCCGACATCGTCATCGTCCTCATGGCCGCCCGCTCGTTATCATCGCCATTAACAACCTCCAAATCCTCGCGATTCTCTCCACCGCCATCTCACCAAAACGTCCGCAGTATTCATTCTCACGATGATCCTCATGCTCCTGCAAATCCCACCAGCCCTTTAGGGCGTGAGTGGTTTAGAGAGCCCCCTCTGTCCTCAACCCCCCTTCTTCCCCTTCGGGGAGGGGTTTACCCCTCCCCCTACCCCCTCCCCCTGGGTCTGGAGAGGGCGGGCCGCGGGTCGTTGGAGGGGTCTTTTTCGACTCCTGGGAGGGCTAAAAAACGACGACCCTCACGAGGATTCTGCCCCCGACGGGGGGAGTGAGAAAAAATGCTCTCCTCTTCTGTGAAGCCAAAATCCTTGCTTTTACGAGGGTTTTGGCCCCATTTTGGCCTCCCGAGGGGGCCGCGCTCATCTTCCTTCATAGCAAAATCATTGATGTTACGAAGGTTTTGGGCTCATTTTGTCCTTCTCAGGGGGCAGCGCTTCTTTGCGCTTCTGAGGAGGTCGCAAGAGGCCCCAAGATGGCCCCAGAGGCCCCCAGGAGCCTCCCAAGAGGCCTCCAAGAGGCCCCCAAGAGGCCCCCAAGAGGCCCCAAGAGGCCCCCAAGAGGCCCCCAAGAGGCCCCCAAGAGGCCCCCAGAGGCCCCAGGAGGCCCCCAAGAGGCCCCCAAGAGGCCCCCAAGAGGCCCCCAAGAGGCCCCAAGAGGCTCCAAGAGGCCCCCAAGAGGCCCCACGAGGAGCCCGAACGACTCACACCAGGACGAGGGGCCCGAACGACTCACACCACGAAGAGCCCGAACGACTCACACCACAAGGAGGGGCCCGAACGACTCACACCAGGACGAGGCGCCCGAACGACTCACACCACGAGGAGCCCGAACGACTCACACCACGACACGGGCCCCGAACGACTCACACCACGAGGAGCCCGAACGAGTCACACCAGGAGGAGGGGCCCGAACGACTCACACCAGGATGAGGGGCCCGAACAACTCACACCACGAGAAGCCCGAACGACTCACACCAGGACGAAGAGCCCGAACGACTCACACCACGAAGAGCCCGAACGACTCACACCAGGAAGAAGGGCCCGAACGACTCACACCAGGACGAGAAACCCCAAACGACTCAAATCACGAGGAGCGCTTTCTCTCCCTCCTCCTCCGCCTCGTCCTTCTCCCGCTCCCCCCACAAGGAGGATGTACAAGGAGGCGGGAGGAAGGAGTCGACAGGGGAGATATGCGGGGCCAAACGGACACACGCCTGAAAAACACGACTGTCGGCATGCTTCGCATGAATTGCTGTTGTGAGATGGGCTGGTGGGGATACGCGAAGCGTAAAGAATTTTCCTCCTCCTGATCATCGCGTTGCCCATCGGCAACCCATTGACACCAACCGCAACATGCCGTCCGTGCCGTCGACCGTCAGGACGCACAGCACGGCCGAAGAGGTCGCCAAAATGGCTCAGAGCAGCACCCAAAAGACCCCGGAGACTGCCCCAGGATGGCTCCACAGAGGCCCCAACTGCCCGACGAGGCGCCCAGAGCGCGAACAAAAAGTGCCCACGAGGAGCTCAGGGAAGGGACCTTGAACTGTCTTCAAGTCGGGGGAGCACAAAGACATGGTTGGGGCAAAGGTGGGGTTTCAAGGACAATCGCTCCGCACGGCCCCAGGAAGAAGGACATGCGCTAAGCGGGAGCATCCAGCTGGGCCCGTTCCCCAGCCCAACCTTGGGATAACCCTCCCTCTATGAGCCCCCGATCCGGAATCATGCTCGCAAAGATGGCAAAATGAGTGCCCCGAAGGTTCCTGTTTCTCCTAGCGACGAGTTCGCACACCCCAGGTTGCTTCCTTCTTCTGGTGGCAACGTGATCACGAGGGGTCAGCGGTGAAGCGTAAGTCAAATCATCAGAGACCCTCTGCGATATCGGAACAACAAGAACAACCAACAAACATACAATAGGAACTCGAGCACAAGAAACCGTGTATGTATCAGACCCCAAGGCGTTCATTGACTTTTGGTGTGGGGACGTTACGCTGAACATAGGAAAACCATCGAAACCGAAGAAACTCACGGCACCCTGGAGGCAAGCAGGGTATGTATTGGCATGGGCCTTCACTGTAAGAAAGCACAACGCACATACACATTTAGAGCACCATGCAAGTGTACAGTTTACGATTGTGAACTGTTCTGGTGGTGAAAGCGTCCAGGCGTCGGGAGAGAAAGATACGAAGAATGCTCAGGAAGATGCGGAGGATGATGATTGGTAGGGGATTCAGGAGGACGCTGTCCTGGCAGCCTTTTTGCCCCTCCGCGGCGAGCACCATCTCGGCCAGCACCTTCGGCCGAGCGGATGACATGTTCCCCATGCTCTGAAAAAGGTGCATCTATAGAGAGAGAGAGAGAGAGCATCGAACGAGGGGGTTAAGCTCAGGCTGCGGCCCAGGGCCGTGGGCCCAGGTTCCCAACCCTACCCGAGATCAATATGATGGAGACGATGCGTGTCTTCAACTCTCTCAAGGGCAGATAATCATATGACAACTTCCCTGACGAAAAGATTGATGGATATGAGAAAAGGAGGTAGGTAAGAGAGGTTGTACACACACAGCCATCGATCATGACTGCGATGCGGGCGACGATAACGATGATGACAGGCATGATAAGTTGGTCCGTGACCGTAACGATAATGGTGGTCAAAGAAAGCGTCCACAGATCCCTGAAGGTCCACCCGAGGCCGACAAAGTACAGAACCTGTCCAAAGACTTAGATCCTCGCACGTCGATGCAAGCGGAGAAGGATGAGGGTATGTTTCAAGGGGCCCACTGGCGTTGAGTCGCTGGAAGATGGCGGCCCAGCCGCGCCACCGGCCAACAAGGAGATTTGGCAACGGGTGCAGCGGCCAAAAGCATATATCGCAGCATAAGGCTGGTGGAGATCCACTCGGAGCTGCAATCTGAGTGGCCGAGCAACAGTCATCGTTGAAGACATCGCGGTGTGCCAGCAGCCAGCCCCCCTCACGCCCGGCACACTAAGGGCCGCGAAGAGCATGACGGCCACGGCAACCACCACAAGTACTGCCTTCCACACACGTTGCGCCGTCCCAAGCGCCTCCTCATCCTCTTGCCTCTCCCCCTACCCCCTTCCTCCCCCTCCTCCGCCACGCTTCGGGCCTCCCACCCACAACAATTCAAAATCCTGCACACACCTGACATTCTAGAAGGGAGTCGGGACTGGGCGGTCGACTGCATAGCATCTTCGCGCAGAATCGACACCCATAGACAGGGAAAACATCGCGCAGAATCGACACCCATAGCATAGACTGCATAGCATCTTCGCGCAGAATAGACACCCATAGCATCTTCGCGCAGAATAGACACCCATGCCGTACCAAACTATCCGCAGAAGACACGGATACACGTGGATACATTATATTGCTGTCCATGCGAACAACAAAAAACTAGAAAAGCTGCTGTTACGCGAACGCAACCGCAGAGTTTCGAGGATCTGGCAGCAGCCGTGCTGCCATGCTGGGTGTCAACGAACAACTTGCTGCATCTTACCTGGACCGCTCGTTTGCTATAGCACCTTGGACGTCATGCTACGCTTGAAACTTACACGCGGCCACTACCTCCTGCATAAGAGCTATTTGCTGGTGTGTCAGCTCCATTTCGAACTTGTTCGCCAAACACATCCAGCCAACGCGTTTGCACGCACGGCTCAGAATGACGCACGTGCTCGCGAGAAGGGGCACCTTCGCCTGAATCGCGTCGTTGTATAGTTGTACGGCGTATCCAACACGCTGGATCTGTAGGCAAGAACGGATTGCATAATGGTAGTCGACATGGTCGGGCTCGAAAGGGTGTTCACACATAGTTCCGAAGATGGCAATAGCTTTCTCGTGTTGGTCGCTGAACGAATAGACCCTGATCATGACGCTATAAGTTCGTGCATTGGGAGCCACTGCATGGTCAGCCATCTTCATGAACAACGCGTCGGCTTCCTTGTGCATGCCAAGCTGAAGACGAACACCCAACACCGCATTGTACGCCGCCCGCTAGAGCTGAATACCTGATCCCTCCATTTCATTGCACATCTTCAAAACTAATTCTGGATCTGAACGCTCGTAGGCCACGATAATGGAACGACATGCCCATTTGCTGAGGGTGGTACCCGCGCTCTTCATCTTTACGAAATACTCAACGACACTCTCTGGAAGCTGACGGTCCCTCCATGCAGCCAGCAAACGGTTCTGAATCTCAACCGACGCGTGAATCCCATGAACTCTGACTAAATCAAGAAGCCGCAATCCGTCTATTTGCACGCGCTTGTCGTCGAGAGTGCCAGCGACGAGCTGGAAGAAACGGTTTGACACGGCCTTGTGGATAAGGTGTGCACCAGGAACGGCCCCCTTCTCCAGCATCTGATCGAACAACGTCACGGCTGCTTCTCCGTGTCCCAGTCTGATGGCGGCATGCATCACTTTCAGCATGCTCGGGAGAGTGTGGCTCACACTCTCTCTCCGTGCGCGCTCGATCGTGTGCATGTCGGACCTCGATCGGTGACGTTTGTGTCCAAGCGGATCCCCTGAACCATCGTGGCCGTCGTCAACAGTACCGAATTGCTTACGCGATGCAGGTTCCTCGGCGGAGACTGAACGCAAAACTTTGCGCCTACCTTCGAGAACAACCTTGCCGATCCAAGATCGTACGGTGGTCAACTTGCTTATTTTTGTGATTTCCTCCGTGTTCTTCAGGTAGTGGAAATCGACAAAGTAGACGAGCACGGATAACGAAGCCAAGAACATGTCGATATCGATATGAAGACTTGCTCCGTCCAAACAACTGGACATGGAAGAGACACCGTGGAGTAATACGGAGAACGCAGCACAGAGCACTGTGACACCCATGACAAGCCCGTGGGCGGCAAGCCCAGTTGAACAGTTCTGACAGGGCGGAGATGGCATGGAGCCCAAAAAACATTGAGCCATCTTGAGCCGAAGTGGCTTCGAAGGGCCTTTGAGGAGCCGTTTGGTGGGCCTCTAGGGGTTATCGTGTGCCTCTTGGCCTCTTGAAGGCGCCTTCGGGCGCCCCATGGGAGCCTTTGAGGGCGTCATTGGGTGCTTCTTTGGGCCTCTTGGGGCGGCTATGGGCGCATCTTGTGTGATTCACAGGGGCGTCTTGGGGGCTAGGTTGAAGCCTCGGATGCGCATCGGAGGCGGAAAGGGTGGAAGTCCAACATAATTGATTTACAATTGGATTTGTAAGATGTGTGGTTCCAGGGGGCCTCCTGGTGGGCCCCCTGGCGCCTCTCTTAGGCCCTCCTGGGGGCTGTCTCGGGAATGCCCTGGAGACCTCCCAGGCCGTCTACGAAACATCTCGGGTGATCCTGGGACTCGCGGGCCTTCTCCACGCCATGAGCGCGTCCGGGGTAATCGCTCGGGGGGGCCGCGCACCGTGTAAAGGGAGGTCCCAGCCTGGGGCCCAAGCAGAGGATTGCACACACACAAGCACACACACACGCGCACACACACACACGCACACGCACACGCACACACACACACGCACGCACACACACTTTTGTTCGCGAGCGCGCAGGGGTGCCAGGCGCCGTTAGGGAATTGCAAACAAGCGATGGCCTAAATTACCCACTACGTGCACGCACACACCCGAACGCACACACACACACACGCACGCACGTTCGCACGCACAAACGCACACGCACACACGCACACACGCACGCTCGCACGCACGCACGAACGCACACACACACACAAACACACACACACACACATACGCACCCACGCACACACACACACACACGCACGCGCGCGCACGCACGTACGCACGCACGCACGCACGCACGCACGCACACACACGCACACACACACACACACTGTTTGTCCGTAGTGGCCCCGCGCGCGGCGACGAGGCAGAGTAAGTCGATACACGCACACACACGCCCACACACATACATGTATGTGTATGTGTAAGGCGGCCTTTCTTGTCCCCCTTTTCGGTGAAGCCACCTTGTTCTACGAGCGGCCTCTTTTCTCCTCTCCTCCTAATCCTCCACCTCATCCTACTCCTCCTCCCTCCACACCCCTCCCTGCGCGAGGGAGGAGGTACCCCCTTTTCTGTGCTATCTCCGCTACCCTTCGCTACATCGTGGCGCACATCCTGGCACGCATCTCCGCGCACGAAGCGGAGGGGGAATTCGTTCTCCTCCTCAGAACAACAAATCCGCCCTCGCTAGTGCACGCGAGGCGCGGGCAATTCCAAAAATGCAGTGGCTTCCCCAACGAAAGCACAACATGTCGCAACAGCGGTTGCAATTATCGGTAGGAATGCAGAGCAGCGGCGCCCCGAACGTAAAAACAGACTCCCCTCAATAGCCCTCGAACTGGCGAGTACGAAATCAACGCGACGGCTAACAAAAAACACCACGGCGCAGCGCGGGATCTGCGCAACGCTCCATCTCCATCCGGCACGAAACACCGCCAAAACCAAAGAGGCACCAAAAACAGAACCCCCTTCGATAACATTCGGAGTGGCTTGCGAGAAATCAACGCAACGGCCTACCGATTTGCTACCACGGCGCAGTGCGGAATATACGGCACGTTGCAGCTACCCTTTTTTGGTCGGCGGCTCCGAGGCGGCGGACATTGAGCGGTAGGCGTCGTCTGGGCCAGCAGGCGAAGCTAATTAGCTACAACAGGCAAGGCACCTGCAAAAAAAAAACGCAGTACGCGAGTATGCACATGCAGTAAGCAAAATGCTCGATTAAACGACGCTGCAGCTACACGAAACATGAAAAAACCGTCAACCCACAACCGCACCGACCATACGTTCCTCGTCGATCACCCTCGGACGAGCGAGCGCACCATCAACGCAACTGTGCACCAGGTGGCGACCACGACGCGTCACGAGATCTGCAAGGATGCTGCAGCTTCCTGAGGCGCGAAAATCAGTCCAACCTAGAACCTCCCCGAAATCACATTCCCCTCGATTGCACTCGTACTGGCGAGCGCGAAATCCACGCACCGGCCTACCAGCCACGCGACCACGGCGCAAGGCAAGCTTCCGCCACTCCTCACTCATCTTGCGTTGCTTACACAGGCCCTTAGAAAGATACACTGTTTGAACAATTGCAAGCGTTTCCTGTTTCAAAACGCATACCACAAAAAACGCCTAGTCCTTGCCACTAATCCCTCCTCTTGCGTTCCTTAAACCGGTTCTCAGAAACAAAAATCATGGTTTGAACATTCCGAGCGTTTACTGCTTCAAAACACAATCAAGAAAACGTGTAGTGATGCGTGATTTGACCACTCCTCCTTGTCTCATGTCGCTCCTCCTCCATCTCCTGCACTCTTCGGATGCAGGAGGAGGGGAGGCGAGAGGAGGGAGGAGGAGGAGGAGGAAACTGGCGGAGAAGCAGGACATTTGTTGTCAAACAAATCCAACACATTCTACAGACTTTCCATGAAACCGAATCGACATTTCAGACAACAATCGTATGCATTCATAGGTTTTCCCAGCCCTCTAGGGGGGCGAGGGGTTGGTGCGAGGCGGGCAAAGCTGATGATGTGGAAAACCTACCAGTGTATGGAACGTATGGAAGTAGAAATACTTGTTGAAGGAAGTGTTGTGGAATGTTGGAGAACTTATAGGAGTAGCAAGAATGTCTTGCTTCTCATAGGATCGATCAGCTTTTCAGTTCGATTATTCTTGCGAGTGCACTGTGAAGGACGAATTGAATGTATCAAGCGCCCTCCGACACCAAGCTGAGAAACGCCCCAAACCGCGAAGTCGCAACCGCCCAGTCGAACAGTGTGAAATAGATGCATCTTTGTATGATGTACACTCAGGCGTATCTTAAGATGCTGCTTCATATGGGGGGAGCAAGGACAGCCGCCTCCTCTATATCACACAAGACTGCACTGAAGTTGGGCACCTTGGTTCTTGAAGTTTGGCATTTTTTGTTTGGCCACCATGGGCCGAATCACTACAGCGGCGCCTAAATCGACGCCGCTGAAAAAGAGGATAAGCAGGGACGATCCGCGACCGCGCCCAACCAGGCGCCGTCGCAGGTCACCCTGCTCACATCCCCTTCATCCGAATCTTCGGACACGGGGCCAGAACTGGGGAGGGGAGGACGAGCAGGAAGAAACAACATTAGATTTAGCGATACATCCTGGTTGTTTTTTTCGGACATCTCGCGTCGTTGTCCGCCGAACCCCTCTCGCCAGGGGCGAACCGGCGCGTGACACAGCCGCATCCGCCGGTCCCCCTCCCCCTTTTTCCCCTCCCCTGGGGTTCAGAATCCACTTTGGGGGAATACGATCTCGTCAACGCGCCCCTGGGGCCGCCAGATACCCCAAACAAAACTCCAGACGGCGCCCGAGAGAGCCCAGACAGAGCGCGAAGACGGCCAAAGAGAGCGTGAGCGTCGAAACGGCCCATGGTTTCAAGACGGCCCACAAAGCGTCCACGACGGCCCAAAAGCGTTCCCAAAGGACCGTCGCAAAGTGCCAAACAATACAACACACCCCATTCCCCTTATGTTGTCCCCATCCTACTTAAGGACCACATCCCAGACATAATTTCGAGCACCCGAAAAAGTGTCAAAAGAGTGTCGAAACAGTCTCGAAACAGTGTCGGGCGCGAGTCTCCCAGGGCCCGACACGTGAAAACCCTTGAGTCGCGGTATTTCGTTGTGCGCTCGCAATTCTTTCTGGCGACCAAGGCTACAGTAGGTTGGAGCATCATAACATCCCCCAATGAGAGCGTACACTTTTGACATGCTCGCAATTGTTGAATACTTTGTCTTGGGAACCCATGGCATCCTGATCCCCCGCGCGCGACGGACTGGGCCCGCCAACCGCCCCCCCCTGTTCCGATCCCGAGAAATATCCGGGCAATGGGGCGACGCATTCCAAACCGGCGCCCTCGCGTGGGACGTCCTCAAAAAAGCTACCCCCCTGGAGGCATTCAAAGGGATCCAGCGATGAGTTCCAAACTGCCGACCAGGGCGTGCCGGGCGCTTCCGGGCCCGGCGATTCCGAGCTATACGGACATCCTGTCGCGAAAGCCAATCCAGGCGTGTCCCAATATGGGGCCCCTGCTCGGAACGCCTTTGCAAAGTCGACCAATCGCTCCCCGAGGGAGGCCCCGGAGGACGATGACGAGGAAGAGCAGGGAGGGGGGGGGAGGGAGGAGGGGAGGAGGAGGAAGAGCAGGAGGAAAAAGGAGGAAGAGGAGGAAAAGGAACAGGACGACGAGGAGGGGAGGCGGATGAAAAGAATGAAAAGAAGGACGAGGACGGGGAAGAGGAGGAGGAGGAAGAGGAGGGGGAGGAGGAAAAGGAGGAGGAGGAGGAGGCGGAGGACGAGGAGGAGAAAAAGGAGGAACAGGAGGGACAGGAAAAGGAGGAGGAGGAGGAGGAACAAGAGGGAAAAAAAGAGGAGGAAAAGGAGGAGGAGGAGGAGGAGCGCAAGGGGGGGGGGAGGAGGAGAAAAAGGAGGGGGAGGAGGAGGAGGAGTAGGAGGAGGGAGGAAGAGGAGGAGGAGGAGAAAAAGGAGGAAGAGGAGGAGGAGGAGGAAGGGGAGGAAAACGAGGAGAAGGGGGAGGAGGAGGAGGACAACTGGAGAAGGAGGAGGAGGAAAATGATAATGGGAGGACGAGAAGGGGGGGGCCGAGGAGGAGGAGGGTCAAAAAACACGGGGAGGAGGAAGAGGAGGAGGAGGAGGCGAAGAAAAATCATGCTTCACCATGCTGGTCAAACTTCCGAAGTCGGGAAGCACGCGCAAAGGTAGCAACGAACACTTCCCTTACCCCCGGCCGTCCGTGTGCGAGAAGGTTCGGCTTTGCGTTGGAATTCTAGCTGGCGACATGCAGTCCACCTAGTTAT